GTAGGGAAATAAAGTTGATTACTTTGAAAGACAATATAAGTCATTTTCAAAATTTGCTGTAGATGGGATAGTTAAGAATTAAAGGGGCAGACCCAGTGGCACAGCAGTAATGCAACAGTGTACAATGCTGACCCCACATAGGAAGGTCCCAGTTTCGAGTCCTAAGGTCCCGTGTAGGCGTGCGGGGTGCACATACACGTACCTGTATGCCCGTGATTCTGGCTGTGTGCGGCAAGGATAGAGCACAGTGTGAAGACTCTGTTAGAGGTCTCTTTCTCTCTCTGAAAAACATAACTAGAAAAAAAAATTTTAAGGAAAAAAGTTTCCTGAGAGATTCTGAATACAGATTTTTTTCACCCATCTTAAATTTCTGTTCTACCTTAAAATAGTAAGCTGAAAGCTTTCTGCAGTGCAGTTGGGTAGTTTATTTTCAATCAGTGGACCCAGGCTCAAAGAATTCTCGAAGGAAACTATTTAATGTAAAGGGTTTGAATGTGTGTGTTTAATCGATTCTTACATTAACTGCTTTTTTTTTTCCTTTTTTTGGGGAGAGGTTTTTGCTATAGGGCACATGTGCTCACCAGACAGACAGAGAGATAGAAAGGGAGAAATCACCCCCCCAGGGGGGGATGGCCATGCGCAATCCCTTCTCCTCCATTCTCTCGGGATCTTGGGCACGCACACACACGTGCCTGGCATGAGTTTAAGCCACCGGGTCTGGGACGCAAACCACAGTCGACTACGTGGGAGTCCAGCAACATAGCCATTACGCTAACTGCTGGTCCCCATTAACTGCTTTTTTAAAAGTTGAGTGACCAACTTGGCATCCAGTGGTATCAGATACAAGGCTGTCCACTGTGATCTCCTAAGCAATGTAGACAGTCTGGCTGTGTCAGAGATGTGCCCAGCAGTGTGATGAGTCAGGGTTTAGGAGTTCTCACCGTCACAGTGAACGTGCGAGAGTTAGCGGATGTGGAAGAGGCGCTGAGGCAGCCTGTTCCGTCGCGATCCCACCTGAGGCTTAGCTCTGGAGAGAGAGACCGGAGATCAGAGAGACAGGAGGAAGACCACGGCGAGCTGGTGACGAAGCAGCCCAGAGAGAGACGCTTAAAGGAGAAGTGGTTGTCGGTGACGCGAGTAACGCAGAGAAACTGACCGGAACGAGGAGGTCTCATTGGCTCTGACAACGAGCAGACATTTGTGACCTGCCAGATCTGTTTGGGAGAATCCAGACTACAAATCAGAGTGTTTGAGAAGTTAGGAAGTAAAGGTGGCGTGAACCGTTTCTT